AAATAGTTGGTAAGTTTCTGAGTTTTTACAGTGGAGTAATACTTCAAAATATTTTTAATAAAATAAAAAAAAAAAAAAAAAAAAAAAGGGGGGGGGGGGAGGGGACAGAGATTTATTTCACTTTATTAAACTGTGTAATTGAATTATTTGTCTTTTAATGGTGATCATGTAGTTTAAGATGAAGAAAATCAGATTTTTCTTTCCTCTGAGAGGAGGATGCACTGGGTGAACCTGAGCCGGCTGCTGCAGCAGCAGCAGTGATGGTGATGTCACTCTGAAGCCAGGCTCCCTCCTTCAGACAATGGCCTGTCCTGGTTGAGTCTCCACTGGGGAAGGGTCACTGTTGGCCCTGCCTATTAGTGCAGCAGATGGCCCCGAAACCTGGCCTTTGTCAGCTGAGGAGCATCCCCTTTCCCAGAGGTCCCACCCCTGTCACAGCGGTCCTGTCATAAAAGAGGCTAGTCAGCAAGTCAGCCATGTGGTTAGCATGACTGGAGCGACCCTGCCACATGGTGACTGCATTTGTTCTTCTGAAAGTCCGAGGAGTGCTGAGGTGTTAAACGGAGACGGATTACAGTCAGAGCCGGCAAAAGATTATTTAGGACCCTGAGCAGAATTTGACATGGAACCCCCTGTTGCACCGCATGTGGTTTTTGTGAATTGCTTTTCTAACATCTAACATTTGGTTTGGTATTGTTCAGAATTTAAACCAAAAAAATATTTGCCAATTTACTCATGTTTTTGAAAATGTTCTTATTCATTTAGTGGCTAACTTTTTTTTAGTCTTTTATCTTCAGTCATGTCAATCATCTCTTTTTTTAGTACAGTGCACTTTATAAATTTTACTTTTCAAGTTTATCTTTACAAAGAGTAAAATCAATGACAACAGCTACAATATTTTAAAGTAGATTGAAAGATATTTTTTTTTTTTGAAAATTCAGGGCTTTTTTTTTTTAAAATCTTCCATCAGTTTTAAAATTCTTTGTAAGATCTTTCTGAGGTAGAGATGATCAAATGTAATCCAGACTCCTTTAATAAAAATGGTAAACTGGCCCTTTAATTTAGAACAGAATTAAATGCTGTGATCATAAAACTATATTTTCTCACAGGGCACCAATTCCCCATCGATCGCACAGAAGAGTGAAATTGACAAATGACTTTTCTTTGTAACAAACTCAAAAATGTTTCAAAATTATAAGCATGAAAAAAGCCAATTTAAGAGGATTATAGGTGTCTGGCATAAGGTTTCGTCTCGACAAATATCACTACAAAATTGAAGTTTTACAGTTTTCAGTGGATGAACTCACAGGCTCACAGGGCCCCCTGTTGGCCTGGAGGCCCCAAGTTGCAGCATTTCTTCAATCTTTTGTCAGCTTTGGTTATGGTTAATACATCTTTGATTTAGTATTTGTCAACAACAAATTAAGAAGATTTAGAAAAGAACAAATGAGTAAATTTTTTTTTCCAAAAAATAAAAAAAAAGTGTGATAATTTTTAGAATAGTGAAGACACATTTGTGTTTTAATAATTTTGTGTGAAAAACTGCAGAAGGAACATGGACTAAAGCTTTACAATGTTTCATGTTTAGTTTTGACTTGCTCATCTGGTAAAACTCAACTCTGAAACAAATGGGAACCTAAAAAGAAAAAAAAAACACATTTTAAATCTTTCTTCAAAATACAGATCTATTCACATGCAAAACTGAGCGTTTGGTGTTTTGGTTCACCGAAGACAACATGCTAAAGTTAACGAAAGCCAGTTTTTTGACTTCATATTGCTTCCTGTCAGGTTCTGTTGGGTCATAATGACCTGTAAGAGATGCATGAGAGATTGCATTTCTAAAGTTAATCCCGGCTTAAAGGTTTTAAAAAGAAAAATAAACAGAAGCAGATGAAATCGGTGAGGCGCATCGTTCATCTTTGCGCAGCCAACTTCCTCCTTGATGTGGTGGTAAGAGGGGGGCTGTGGGTGTTCATGGGTGTGCACCATTGTTTGATCATGTAAACGTGAATTCAAAGAAGAAGTTACTTTTTTTGTTAGGAAATCTCTCGCATTTAGAGATTTTGTTTTAGAAAGGCTTTCCCTGGCTGCTGCACAGGGGGATTATTGTTTTACTGCTTTAACAGGTGTTACAGGTTCTTAAGAGAGTTAGTTCTGGCTTTTTATGACTGGGATCATGTAGCATAGTGTTGCAAAGAAAAATCTCTTAATGCCACAGTTTGTGCTCTTAAATATTTGATACAGCTTGGAGATTCCAGGTGTGTGTGTGTGTGTGTGTGCGTGGGTGTGAGCGCGCGGACACGTGTGTATGGTGAGCCGTAACTGATATGCAATATCCATCTGGGTATCTTAAAAGGAGGCACACTGAATTGGTGATCATATCTTGTTAAAACACATTTTAGCAGTTTAGAAACCCTCAAATGAAGTAATTTCTGGATTTTGTTCTCTGAACATCCCTTTTTTGTGCGTGTTTATTATAAGTCTGATGGCGATGGGCTTTTAATTCCCGTTGAAATTTTTAGCAGATTTGAGCAGTGAGAGACGGGTTGGGATGTCCTGGTCCTTGTTGATCGGTTTCAGGTGTTTCCCTGCTTGTCCACGCTTGATTTAAAGGGTTCTGCAGAAATGTGTGCACACAGTGGAGCCAGTCTAAGCATCAGACAGGACGGGCTCTCATCACGTCAATCGATGCTTGTTCTACCAGCCAGAAGGAAGCATGACCGCTCTGATCATTGACTGATGTGTACAGAGTTTGTTTGCCAGCAGGATCTAAAGGATTATAGTGTCAAATAAAAATTATGGTCTAAATAATGAAAATCTGTGACTCTGCAGAGTATGCTTATTAGGTGGGAGATTGCATCTTGCTGTTTATATTTTGATGCTTCTTGTTAGTTTTTGGTGTGGTGAGCTTGAATTGCTGTCATTGAAGGAGAGAAAATAATTCAGTTATTTACTGCATCTAGAACATGTAAAACACAGAACCTTAAGATATGTAACACCATCATTTGGGGGGGGGAAATGAACCAGCCTGCTGTAACTTGGCCATCCTCACAGAATCTATCTAGTACTGAATATTTTCTGGTCTTTTTGGAAAAAGCTGACACGGCAAACCGTAAAAGTAAAATACGATTTTAAGCCACATGTGTAAAATTTGCTTTATGCTCATTTTACTTGGTTCAACTATAAAATCTTTCATTTTAATGTTTGTATGCCCTGTTAGAAAAGTTATATAAAACACAGGTGTAGTTGGCAAAAGCTCCACAGACAGGAGTTGAATAAAACGGATGACAACCTGTTATAATCTGTAAATGTTTTCACTGATTATAGTTTTCTTTTTTAATCATCCTTATCATAGGATCTTTGCTTGAGTGAGACATTTATTTGGATAAAGATGTTTGTCATTTAAGAGGCTTAATTATGTTTCATATTTATTGTTCTGGCATCAAACACTTGTATAAATCAGTGGTGTAACTCAGCCTGTGTTAAATTTCAATAAATGTACTTGCAGTGTGATGTATCACATTTTACCGTCTTCTGTAAAAGTGTCAGCTCATTTGAAAATTAATGACGGCAATGAATCTGCAGGGGAGCTGAAGTTCATAAAAGGTTTCTTAACATTAAGTGTCAGGAAGAAAAAAAAAAAACTTCTGGTTGTATTTAACATTTTATGATTTAACAAATGTTTTCAGTTGATGAAAAGAACATGATGGCCAGTTTTAGCACCAAGACTTTTTCACCACAAAGTTAAGTTTGCAGATTAGACTTTGCTGAAACATGTGAGGCCTGAAGGTGATCAAAAAGCTCACAAAGCTGAAAATGCACCAGTCAGGATTTCGGAGCCCAATTCAGGACCACAGTGTTTGTATTTTTACATTTAATTATTCATTTTCTTCAGTTTAAGAGGTACAAGAAGATGTGAGCGAGACACAAATGTTTTTTTTTCTATCCTTGCTGTTATTTATGGTTATCAATGATGTTGTGTTAGGGGTCCATTTTTTTTTTTTTTCAAAACGATGGCAAAATGTTTAGAATTGACATTTAAAATTGTGTTTTTTAGCACTTTATTTTAGGCCTCGGTGTGTTTTTCCTACTATGAAACACTTCTAAATCCAGGATGTTTCATAGAAGAGTTTGGGAGATCAAAAGGTTAAAATGAATCAACTTTGCTGTTTTCTGTTCAGCCTTCCTGTTATCAGCTGGAATCTCGCTCTCTTAATGGTCTGCAGGCATGAATTGATGTAATGGAAAATGGTTTCCTTTAAATGATTTGTCTTTTCGTTTCATTTTAAACACTGAAAAGCCTTCATACCTCAGTATGAATGTTGACAGCATTGTTCCAGTTTGTAATCTGAATTATTTCCTCAGATTAATCTTTTTGTTTTGTTAGTTTGGTGTTAAAAGAACTAAAAGACATACTCTTCCACTGTGCCGCTGTTTTTCTTAAGATGGCATTTTTGTCCTTCTTGAAGATTGTCATGGAAGAATCTTTTTACTAGGAGTAATTTCAGAAATCCATGTCCATCCTTGTAACTTTTTATTGACTTCTTGCTGCCATCAAATGTAAGACGAAGCCACAAGAGTCATTTAAAGTTAATCATGCGAACAGGAAACGGTTCGACCACATGATCTCTTGAAGTGGTTCGGTTCAGTTACTAGCAGGACTTTCATTCTCGTACATGAAACCAATTTGCTCCTGCTTCAAGACTAATGATCTATACCAGCCCTTTACAAATGCCCACAGTGATTAAGATACCAACAATATTCTATGAATGGATCTTATTGTGATAATTTGTTGTCTTCGGGTCTCCAGGACTGATTCCCCTCCGCCCCCCAACATCACATCATCCACGACCACCGCCGCCATCATGGAGCTGGACTTCGGGCATTTTGACGAGAGAGACAAGACGTCCCGCAACCCGCGGAGTGGGAGGATGAACGGACTGCCCAGCCCCACGCACAGCGCCCACTGCAGCTTCTACCGCACACGCACCCTGCAGGCTCTCACCAACGAGAAGAAGGCCAAGAAAGTGCGCTTCTACCGCAACGGGGACAGATACTTCAAGGGCATTGTGTACGCCGTGGCCAACGACCGGTTTCGCACCTTCGATTCTCTTCTGGCCGACCTTACGCGCTCCCTCTCTGACCACATCAATTTGCCGCAGGGGGTTCGTTTCATCTTCACTATTGATGGATCGCGCAAGATCGCGTCTCTGGACGAGCTGGAGGAAGGTATGTTTATTCTTAGCTTAACGCAATGAGAAATTTATATCACTTTGTCTGTTTTGGTTGTAATTTGGTACCCAGCAGTTCTATTTTCAGAGGGGTTTTTATGATTTTTAGCTGATTTAATTGTGTAATTCACCGTAGTGTATGGGCATAACCATAGAAGAGGAATATGGGACAGGAAAGCTGGTGAGAGTTTACTGGAGCAAGGATGGAGCGACATACAGGGCAGAACTGAAAGAAAACCTGCTAAGAGCATGAAAGGCGTGAGAGAGGGCCGACAAAGGCTTTGTGCGTTAAAATGGACTAGTCAAAGCAAAGTCCAGAAGAATATCGAAATGGTGTGACCTGCTGTTCAGATATTCTCTGAGTTTGAGCTATTTTGGAAAGAAAAGGGGCAAAAAAAAAAATCCCCCAGATGTTTACTTTTTAAAAACTTAGAACAAAATAACGCATCCATTTCTGCTTCATAAATATCCACTACAAGTTTGGTTTTTATACGACTTTCTAATGCATTGAAACGACTTTAAATGCATTTCAAGCTCAATGCTTCTGCAAGGTGAGAAACCAAGAAATGTGTAGTGACGAATGTTAGTCGTGTTTTCCATCCATTCTAAACTTTAAATCTACAGGCTTGCATTCTTGTGGCCTGTGACATCAGTTTGAATGTTGGTGACTCGCAGATTCTTTAACAATGAAACTGCTGACTGGAGCCTGACTGCTTTGCACATGAGCATAAACAAATACAACTTCAACAGCATCGGCTGCCAGACGCAAAGTTTATCATCTGTTTAACTGAATTATGTTTATTTTTTTCCAAGAAGAAACTGATTTTATTTCTAATATGTTTTATACTTTACATCATGTGACTTTTCTAAAAGTAGGAGCTGAATTTGGTTTAGTTTATTCAAAATGAGGCGGTCGTGTTGAGCGGCTTACAGTTTGCTGCATGTGTGGCTCGTCTGCAGCGCGTCGGCTGGAGGGGCCATTTCATTGTGCTTCCTCTTTGTAGGATATAATTAATTACTCGGCCTCCTCTGCACAGAGTAATCTAGTTTTCTGCTCTTTGTCTTAGCTTGAGTTTCCCCACGTATAATGTAATTGATTCCTAATTGATTCCTTCCTAATTGGTTTCCCTTTTTTCCTGCATCATTGTCCTACTGAAATATTTTTTTGCGTAAAGATACCAGATGGAACTGTAAGAAATTTTTTTTCCATCTGATCATTAAATGCTGCTTGCTTGAAATTTGTGTAATTAAACAAAGTGATTTATGTGCACTTCTGGATTTTTGTGTGGCGATGTTGTGATAAGAAATTTGTGGGCGTCTGTTTTTTACTTTGACCAGTTAGTCTTGGTTTTTATTCTTTAGAGCTGTAATAAAACATAAGAACAGCATTCAAATATTTTTTTTATTTACATTAGCAGCTCAGTTATTGCCACACAGTGTGAGAGATTATTTAGACAGGCAACATTATCATGGAGGGGACATTTTAGACTTGCTTTACCAGCTTTTACTGGCATTGTGTGCACTGGTAGCGTTTCTAAAACTGCATCCTGAGATCACTGATCCTTGGTTTAACTAAGAGATTTCAAACAGGCTGCTAATAAATCCAAATCCAAGATATTGCAAGACAAATTGAGAGCTCATAAAGGTAAAATAGAGAAACTTTGCTGTAATGCCTTTAGCCTTTCTGTTTTCCGCTGAAAGTCTTGATCTCTAGTGAACCACAGACATGATTTGACATAAAAAATAGTTTCCTTTCTGAATGCTTTTTAATATGTTCCCATTGATTCTGAAATGGGAAAGTCTTCATTCAGTGATGGCATTTTTAGTGAGTCTGAATATTTTTGTTTTGCTCTTTCACTGTCGGGTTGAGCGGTGAATCTGCTGAGTGTTTGCATGAGACGATCTTTATCGCTTTGCTTGTTCTCTACGATGTATTTTTGCAACACTGACTTGCTTTTATTTCTAGTGACAGATGAATGATTGGAAACATGTCTGTAACAGTGAGCAGCTGTTAGTTTAGGTTATTTGATATAATCAAGACTCCAAAAAGCTCCCATTCGTCTCACATTTCAGTGTCACTGAACTGGATCAAACTCAACAAAGAGATCATTCCAGTTTTGAAAGTGTGAATGCAGAAAGCAGGCTTTTATTTACATCCTGACCAGTTACTAGCTGTCTAGTCTGACTTGAGGTTTATATTTGGCTCCAAAAGTATTTCACATGCACAGCGAGGGCAGATGGGGCCAAAAATAAGATTCTGCCAACTAAAACAAGCTTTTAGTAGTTGCTGCTGTGAATTGCAGGTGCAATTGAAATCTCAAACAAATCCGTTGTTCAAAACATGAAAGCTTGAAACCCAAGAAGTTATTTCAGTAATATGTGCTTCAACATGATGAATATCGACTTCCGCAGTTTCTGTAAATGAAGTCCGAGCAGGAAGCAGGAAATTTTTTGTCGTGTTGCTGCACATCTGAATTTAGGTGAGCCAAATATGCATATGGAAAATTGATTATATTTCAAGCTGCTGAGGTCTCAAGTACTGAACATTTGTTTAGATTTAGGTGGAGTCCCTTCCTATGAGGAAAGATTAAATAAAAGTGATGCGGAGTTTTCAAAGCGTGACAAAAATGGAAACGAGTAGTAAAGCTGTGGGAGAGTTTCACATTGGCTCACCTACACGGCGTAGGGAAATGAATCCTTCATCTGATTAAAAAATGCCATCATGTCGATTTATCTGAATAACCAAATTGTATTAAATATAAACCTTTGCTCTTAAAAAAAATTAAAGGAAAGCAGGAATTAAATTGTTTTGGGAATAAAACTTCCTGCTTTAAAAAAATAATTCATGAACAAACACAGTTTCTGTGGTATTCATTTGTAAATCCCTTAAAATAAATCCACACTGGGCAACAACAACCTAGAATATTAGAAATATATTTAACCTTTTAACTCAACTACATCTATATAATGGTGGAATAAAAATCTAAAAGATTTGTTTTAATGAAGTAGTCGGGCAATTTTCAATGCTTCTCCAGCAAGTCACATCGATGCACTACAGACGATTAGTATAGAAAAGTTCCTAGAAAATGAAAGTATAAATTTAAAAAAGTGACTAAAGTAAAGAGTAAAGATCTTGTTTTTAAATAGTTTGCTTGGAGTTTACAGATTAAGATTTTGCTACTGGAAAAGATTTTTAAAAGGCTTTTTACTAATTTTTTTATTTGGGTGTTCATGTATAACATTCTTACTGTGTAAGAATGTTATACATTCTTACACAGTAAGAATTTTATATTGCCTTAAAAGTTGATGCACCAGTATGAGTTTTGTGATGACAAATCATAAAACTCCTATTGGTCCCTCCTTATTGCTATGAAATCAGAATAGAAATCAACATAGTTGAGGACTGAAAAAGGAAACCCTGATTTACTGCACAAAAAAAAAAGGTTTCTTTAAAATGAAATGGATGCAGATTTATTAAATGATGTAATTCCTCCTGGATGGCTCATTGGCTTCTCAGGTGTCAAATAGCTGAGCAAACCTCAATACACTAACCCAATATTCTCCTTTCCTTTCCCTCGCCAGGCGAAAGCTACGTTTGCGCATCCGAGAACTTCTACAAGAAAGTCGATTACACAAAGAACGTCAATCCCAACTGGTCTGTGAACGTCAAGGCCTCCGCCAGCCAGAAGAACATGCAGTCCCTGGCTGCCAAGGCCGCCGGCGATCCCAGAGAGGGCAAAGACTTTGTCCGGCCGAAGCTGGTCACGGTGATGCGCAGCGGCGTGAAGCCCCGCAAGGCCGTCCGCGTCCTCCTCAACAAGAAGACCGCGCACTCCTTCGAGCAGGTGCTGACCGACATCACGGAGGCCATCAAGCTTGAAAGCGGAGTGGTGAAGAGGATCTACACGCTGGATGGCAAGCAGGTGCGTCACGCCTTCAGCAGGGGCTGCTTGCTTATTCAGAGAAATGGTTTGCATCGTGCTCTTTTCCCTGCAAATCTGAGCTGATTGGGAAGCGAGATTAAAGTCGGGGGGGAGAAACTGCCACCTCCTAAAATTCAAATGCGAGAATCTGCAGAGGCGTTCGTCGCTGATGAGGAATGGAGCTGCTATGGTGCAGTATGTAAACAAAGGGAAATGTGTGGTCAGAGCTGGGGACAGTTTACCTTTCATTCACCTGCATTCAGCCAGGCACAGACAGGTGTAGAGATTAAAGGGCTCCATAGGACGGGCAGACTGTTTGCTCATAACCTCGGTCAATATTGACCCGGTGACTACATGAGAATGCAGAGTGCTGATGAGAGCAACCTTTGTGAGCTTTACATCCCTTTGTCTGCAGTTTTTGTTCTGACTTTTGGTTTCTAGCCGTTTCCTCTCCTGTCTTGTGGTTCAGGACATCATCAGGTCTTTTGTTCTGGTTTCATTTTAGGCCATCTGTCATTGAAGGTCCTGGGGTGTTCTGTCATCTTCCCACAGCAGCAGCGTACAAAAGACCAAGCCTTTCATTGTTGTCTCAGCATATTGTCCCCACTGTCCCTTTATACGTGTGCATGGAAATGCACATGCTGACCTACTGAAAGGAAGTAAGGAGAGACTACAAAATGGGCCAACATTTTGGAGTTAAAGGGTCTTGTATAAAAAGTCCTGTGAACTCTTTAACATTTTGTCACATCACAGCCATGAGCCGCACTGTTTTACTGGGAGTTTAAGCAATAGATCAGCACAAAGTGTTTCATTCCTCTGTGTTCAAAAGCCGCTCAACTGGAAACAATATTTCACTGGTGTGTAGTTTAATAAAACCAACCTTGGAGAACAAGTGAAAAGGTTTGGGGGGGAAAAGTTCTGAGAAGCTTTGAATATCCCACAGATCCACTTAACGATCACTAAAGTGACAAAGCTGGTGAGAGCTGATGGGAAAGCAACTACAGTGAAATGCAGGACAACACTGAGGCTGCAGAAGACTTCAGGCATTCAAAGATGGAAACAGATGCTTTACATTATCAGGTTAAGCTAAAAATTCAAATGTGTCGTTTGATTAATCAGAAGGATTAGAATAATTTACATTTTTCTAAAAAGAAAACGAAGTCTGTTCTGGTTTTGAATAAAATATGAAAAATATTGGCATGCACAGGAAGTGCACAGCTTCTGAATGTTTTGATGCGATTGTGAGGCTGAGAGAGCTACACCCTTACTGAACAATAATAACACAGTTTCTTATGTAGCATTTAATCTGCTGAATGTTTATTGGCTTGAAGTTGCCAGAAACAAAATGCGGGTCAGATTTTCCCACCAGTTTTAACCAGATCTGGCTGAAGGTTGTGGAAAGTCCTTCTAGATGTTGAACTCATCAGGTACAGTGGGTGTCAGGGAAATGGTAAGGTTAGGTGATTTCATGTGTGTTGCACATTTTTAGCAACAAGGCAATTCAAAGTGCTATAGAAGGAAATGCAAACCAAATAAGAAACCAAAGGAAAGGGCAAAAATAATAATAATAAAGTATAACTCTAAGTTTAAGAATAAGTAGTCTGTGATTTATAAACCAGTAGGTGTTTCTCTGGATTCTTGTTGCTCTAAAGTAATGATCAGTTTCTCTAGATGAGCTAATAGGAGTTTTTTGGATTCTAATTTTTTTCTAATTCCTGAATATATAAACTAGATGCTCCTGTTGTAAGTATAAGTACTCCATAGTTTATAAGCCAGAAATTGTCAAAACGTTGGTCTTACTGCTTCTATGTGAACTAGGAACACTAGCAGAATGCAATAAATGTGTTTATTTCATAGTTTTACATTAAATCTTTGTTTTAGGACTAACTAGATGAATCAAATATTCTCCAATCTGCTGTGAAGTTCTACAAATGAGCTGAGACAGAGATGAGGTGGATGTGAACATCTGCTGCTCTGATGCAGCTACATGATCTTCTGCAGCTTTACTTTAGGTTGGATCACGTTTTGGTTGCTGCGCTGCTGTCCTTTTTCCTCCTTCCTTTTGAATTAAAGCCAGAAACACGTGTTCAGGAGCAGGGGAGGCGTTGTGAAATGATAGATGGGAGGGATTTGATTTTAATGCTCTCTCCCAGGGGTGCAGTCTGGCTGCATGAGGCCTTGCAGTGGCTTTCTTTGGAGATCCTAATTACTTCCTGTCATCGGATGGTAATTCCTGGTCATGCATTTTTGATAATGTGATGCCACTTTGAATTAAGCATATTGATTATGATGTCACGTTATTGGCGTCCGTCAGAGTCGCTCCCAGTCGATGTTTGGTTTGACTTCAGGATTCGTCGGGTGCAGAAATGAAGGAATGTTGTGCCGGTTTTCGCAGCGCCTTTTGTCTGCAGAGCCACACTGCAGCTGCTGTGTGGTGAAGGTGATATGGTGGAGAGCTCAAATTGATACAGTGCTCACCCCTCCCTAACTCTGCGCCGATCCTCCTCTTTTTTTTTTTTTTTCTCCCCTCCGTTTGGTTGCTAGGAGACCACATCCCAGGCACAAAGAGAGACCCAGCTGGTGTGGACCGGTCTGTCGGATCCCACATCCTGCAGCGGGTGGGAGAGCTTCATCGCCATCAATGCGAGTCTTTGGCGTTTTAAAAGAAAGGAGGAGGAAAAACGTGTGTAATGTTTACCTGCATACATTCCATCAGTTGAGGCTTGAATTTGTGATACGAGCGCTGAAGGTTTTTTTTTTTTTTTTTTTTAAAGTGTCCAAGAATGCACTTCTACTTGCATTCCTGCGATAGCGACTCATCATGAATGGCGTTCCTCTTTTTCCTTGTGTTGTGTGGACTGCCAGCCCTCCTTTCTCTGCCAGAGTTGAGGACAAAATCATTGCCATTTTCCTCTCAAATGTCGGTGCTTCTTTGCTCAATCAACTCAATAGAGGGAAGGGTGGGGCCGCTAGATTCAGGGAGCAATTTGGGATCATTTTATTTTCACTGATGGGGCATAATTACTCAGGCTCTTAAAAAAAAAAAAAAGTGCAAAAATCTGCTCCTCCTGCAGCTAAAGGCCACCTATTAAATTGCAGGGAGCCATTTTATATTCATTCCTCATCAATGAATGCATCTGGAGTGGTACGAAAATGGGAACAACGTGAAAGAAAGTGGGGAAACAAAATGCTCCAGTAGATTTAAACTCTAATCATTTCAAACCAGGTTTAGAAGTTGAGCTTTTTGGTAAGAAAAAACAGAATTTGAGAAGTGTCATGTAAGCACAAACTCTGTCAGACAATAAAGGATTTGCAAAATTTCAGTGTTGATTAGATTGGTGCAAAAATTTTTTTTTAGTAGCTGCAGATTCTTTCAGGGCTTTTAGTGTCTTTAATGCATCCGCTAACAGACGAGAAAAGCCATCTTTCCCCCCTGTTATCAGGGCTCTCGCAGTCTGCCTGCCTCTCACTGTGCTGTGGAAGCGGTTGTCATGGCAATGAGCTTCCCCGTGATGGATTCAGCTTGTGACAATGGCTGTGATACGCTGAGTGGGCTCTTTACATAGTCTTACCTGCCCTGCCCCCCTTAATCTGTCAGGAGCCCGCTACCTCCACGTCTTACTCACTCGCCCACCCACGAACGAACGGAGGCGACGTGGAAAGAGACGGGTGTGGTTCCCCCCCGCTGGAGTCCTGAAGCTTTCCCCACGCAGGCCTGTCCAGCAGCTCTGATTTCCTCCATGAACATCAACAAGTGAGCATAACCTGGAGCGAAGAGGAAGAGGAGGAAGCTCGATTTAATAAAGCTGAGGCCACATCAGTCAGCCAAATGGCTGCTTCCCTGGGGCTGGGGCGGGGTGGCCTGTAACCAGCATCGGGCACCAGCTGTGCACCATGACTGTGCAGATAACCCGCCTCCCTGTAAGTGGCTCATCTGTGCTCCAAATGCATCTGGAACAAACCTACTGAAATGCTGTGCTGCTGCTTGGGGGTCAAGTAGAGGTCAGAGATCTGGTCCAGATTAATCTCATCAGCGGTTTCCATCAAAAGATGCCAATCAGAATGTGTTCAGTTGTCCCCTACTTTGATTTTGATAAACTGGATTGACAAAAGAGCCGGTGCAGTCTGTAAAGTCCTGAAAATTATTTAAAAAAAGTCTGGAAGAATATTCAACTCTGCATGTTTTGTTTTGTTTTTGTTTATGCCCAGGTAATGAATTAAAAATAAGGTCCATCCCCTTCACACTCCTTTTATCGCTTCTTCAAACATAAGTTGGTTATGCCAAGATGGCAAAACGGACAATTATTTATCACTTTTCTGATTCACCTTGGATTTTCATGAAATGAAAATGACAAAAGAAGCATCCGTATAAAATGCTGCCATTCGCTGTTCGATGTGGGTTTTATGGAGGCACAACTGGAAGGAAGCAACTCTTCAAAGTCCCGAGGAGGAAGTTGCTCTTGTTGGATGAGACCAAAACGGAGCATGGTATCCCGAACACGCCATCCGTATGGTGAAACATGGTGATGCGATTGCCTTTTCTTCATCCAACAAAGGTACTGGGGTTTGAAGGTACTTGGTCCAGCCTGACGGCAACCCGATGCATCCAGTCAGAGCTACAATGGAGGAACGGTGCAGACCAGGGTTTCTCTAATCTGATGTCCTCTAGGTGTGTCACTGGTCCAACACACCTGGATCAAATGGCTGAATTACATCCTCAGTTTATTCAGGGTCTCCTGATTCCTGATCATTCCCTGATCATTTGACTCAAGGCTGTCATTACAGTCAAATGTTGTTTCATGGGGAATCAAAGCCTCCATTTTGTTTTTCTTGTATATGTAAAAGGGAAAAAAAGAAATGATTTTCTTTCCTATTAAAACAATGTTCTACTTTCAGCCCATAGTTTGTAACCGTGATGTGACATTTGAGGAACTGTAAGGAGCAGCATGTTTGTAATTTATTTGATTTATAGTCCATCCTGTGTGGTTTGAAACCAGACAAGTGTAAAATCAATTAGATAAACTGTGCTGGTTAACAATTTGCTGACTCATTGGGGCATTAGGGGGAAGTCCATCACTCAGATGTTAAATGGCTGCATGGAGATCAATTGATATGGCTGGAGATGAGATCTAATCATCTCAGTATTTTGTTTGGGGTGTGCGTCCTAAAAGGATGATCAGAAGTATTAATCAGCTGTTGGAAGCAAAAGTGCCATTAAAGTCACAGGTTTCCACATTAGATGTCTTATTGATGCCATTTATTCATGTGCAACAAACAAAAATGCACTTATACTTCCTGCATGTCGTTTGAAATGGCAACAAATCTTTAATTCGCTCAGGATCAGTTTCATCGTCTCGGCAACCTTTAGCCGAATAAAGGTTGAATAATTCAGTAACGGTAGGCGGATCGCTGCGCGTCTGATGGAGGGGCTGCTGGTTTTCATTGGGTCATGTGGTTCTGACAGCTGGTGAGGCTCAGATTAAGGATGGGCTCGGTGAGACGGAGGGTGGAGGGCACCCAGAGTCTGGACAGAGCCAGGAAAAAATTAAATCCCAAACCCCCTGCCTTAGACAAACACACCGGTGGGGTTAACGGATATGTTGACACTAATGTGTGCATCGTCTGTGTAACCTACTGGTGGATATGGTTGACAATATTCATCTTAAGAGAGGACGCTTCTTAAATTAGACCAACATTTTCCACATGGTATTTCCTGTCGCGTGTCGGGTTCTGGCAATGTCTCCCAATCACATTCAAAACAGGTTTAACTATGCTTGCAAATTGTAGTTAAAAATAACCTGCATTTCTTGAATGTTGCATGGACTAGAGTAGTGTCTTCTTCTAATTTAACTTACGGGAGCACTTTATTTGAAGAGGTGTGCATAAGACTGGCATGACTGTCATAAACATGACATTACACTGTCAAGAACATGAAGGAGTCTTTAAGAATGTCTGACTGTCATTTGGTAAATAATGACTCTAGTAATGCAAAGTTGCATTAAAAGTGTAATTTACTTCACGACAACAGTCATAAACATTCATAGACTCCTTATTGTTTATGACGGTCTCGTGTCAGTCTTGCGCTCCCCTTCAAATAAAGTGTTTGCTCAGAATTGACTTTAAAAAATGTATTTCTCCTGCTATGATTTAATGTGGGACAGTTTACTGAAGTGATGCACCTTGTTGTAAAATATCTTAATCATATTACAAGTAGACAAAACTCTAAAGATTATAAACTGCAGCAGCCAACATAGTCTCTCTTTATTGGAATAGTGAAGGGGGGGAAAATGTTTCTTTGGAAAATTCATGACTAGAGCCAAAAATCAAACCCCTTTAACACACGAGTTCATCTATGGTCTGACCTACAGTCACAATATTTTAACCTCAACTGGAAGTATGACAACATCTGAAACTATAGATTTGATACTTGATTAGCAGAAAACGGTCACTGGTTGGTTGGATGACTGGATGGTTTCTTGTAGCCTTTAATTTATGTATTTGGCTAAAACCCTGTGATATGAAAGGCTCTGTGACTGTAATCTGTTTTGTTTCTGTTGGAGCTATAATGCAGGTAATTTGTAAACGTTTTGGCATTGAGGTTCCTTTCTGCAACGTTTCAAACATTGAACAAAAACTCATTTTGAAGCTGCAATTACAGTTTGGAAAGTTGGTTTATGAACAATCCTGATTTAAAAAAAAAGTGCTGGCGTTGCAATGGAAATTATTTGTACAATTGGTTTCTACAAACTTTATTTCTTTCTAACTTCCTGCTAAGACGTCTGAATGTCGGTTCCTGGGTTTTGGTTCCAACGTATGAACCAAATTCAAGGCGGGATGTTTATGCTGAAGATTAAACGGATTGGTGAACAACTTAAACTTCGTTTGAGTGGAGATTTAGTTAATGAAGACGGTGCATGTTTGGATTAGATCTCGATCCTTTTAATCAGCTCTATTGTTAAAACTATTAAAACGAGCTGCTGTCTGCCGTCCGGCCCGTTTCCTTCTCCTCCCCTTCGCCCCTGGGAGGGGGAGAGCTCTTCTTCATGCCTCCATTTTAGGACGACCAGGTGTTTCTGTTGCCACACGATGCTAACCCCATCGCTGGTAACCTGCATCTAATCTCCTCACACTGAAATCACTGGATAACACTAATGTGTTGCCTGTGATTTGGGGTTGGCAGAAAACCCAATTATCGTTTGATCCCTGGAGTCAAAGCAGCGTCTCGGTCTCCCAGCGTGGATCTGTATCCGGGGAGTTTATTGTGGGGGTGGGGAGTTTTTTTTTTTTTTTTTTGTACAGCTGTTAAATGCCACGCCAACAAGTCACCACCGCCACCACACACTTTTAGCTTGTCTTGCAGGACTGAGATTCAACATGGCAGCTGGTGGGGTGGAGTGCTCTCAAATTATCTGTAGCTCATAGTTTAGGTCCGCATCACAAAGGGAAACCATCTCGACTGGGCCTGGCATCCACTCAGACTCGTAGCCGTGATTCAGTTACATTATCGCTGCTCAATATGTCTTTATCTCGTAAGTTGGTATTTCAACAGGTATTGAATATCGACAGAGATGCTCCAGTGAGAATAAAGCAGCTTTTCGATTGAACGGCTCCAACAGGCATGTTGGGCTGTATAATGGAGAGTGGAGGAGAAGGTGTGGCCCACAGACATCTGTCCACTAAGGAGGCCATATTGTTTCAGCAGCTGCTGATTGAATAGACCCAGGGGAAGGAAGCAGAGGCATTTAAACATTATAGAAAAGGTGAAGCCTTATCAGCTTTGTTTGTTTTTTTTGTGTGTGTTTTGTGTTCATGTTTTGTTACATGAACAGATTGCGGCTAACGGCATGAAATACAATGAGAACTGAAGCTTCTGCTCACAGGTTTTTACTTGAATATTTTCACATGGATGGACACTTTTTGTATTTTTACAATTTAAATTTATTGCAACATAATTAAATCCCACAATATAAAATCTATATTTTTCATAAAAATAAGATTTTGTGATGAAATGTTCTTAGATAAATGTAAACAAACATTTGGGATTAATTATTTCAAATTTTATGACTGATAATTTATTGTACATGTTGATGTTGGACGTATAAATTTAAATATTTTATTGATACTACTGTTGGGGCTCTACTGATCAAGTTTTCAGCATCATCCGAGGAATAAGACAAGTTCTCCATCCCTGTTATCTTTAGCAATTCAATTCCAATTCATTTTAACAGAGGAAATGGCTCTGGATATTATATAATGAGAACAAATTTGCATGTTTTGACCAAACATTTATTTTTGCTTCATAAATTGTTTTCTATCAAAATCTTTTTCAAACTATATTTCCAGAAAGGAATTTTTCCAAATGTTTTACAAAGTTTTTTTGCTTTTTTCCCCTCAAGGCAAAGTTTCACAGTTCACATTTATGAATCTCGAGTTTAGCAGCATATTCTGTTTGAAAATGTTTGCAAATTTAAATGTAATCCTGAACATACACTGTTAAAAGTTGCTGAAGGAATATCTTTAACCCTATTAAATGCATAATTATGAATATTTGAGTTGACTCGAAGCTGGAGCTCATTTAGCCAGAAGGATGCAGTCGTCTGCTTTGTGATTATTGCCGATTGTTTCAAAAGGCAGTATGGATGTTGACTTAAAATATATCCAATAAAAACTCTGATTTTTGGGATTATCATTATGGTATTGTGAGAAATTGACATGTATTGTGGTGTTTAGGTTTGTCAATGCGTCTTTTGTTTTGATTTTCTTTTTGATGGTTTCCAAGACGCCCATCTAATGTCTTATCTTGTTCCTGATTTCATTCCACTTGAGCTATCCAAAGCCTTCATGAGCCACGTTTCTATCAGCATTTTTTAACATGAATTTTGAAGTGTTGCATTTGAAAGGTTGACGGAAACGGCAAAATTCAAAATAACCTAAAAAAAAAGGCAAAACAAAAAAAAAAAGGATTTTAACACACTTGCGTAGTTTTTGGCTTTTCTGACGGAGTTAATGCAGTAAAAGGGAGATGAAAACGCATTTGCTGAATAAATTTGATGTAGGAAACTCTTTCATACTTTGACGGTTCTGTTCTAGAGGCACAAAACTTGGACAAATGTATAAGTCTAAACCTTTCAACCCGGAGGGGACGACTCTCCATTTTTCTGATCTGTGATCTGTACTAGTTGCAACCTTTGCATCTCGTTTATCAAAGCTATTTGTAGCATTAACGTCTGAAATTATCCCGCTCTGTAGCGGGATAATTGTTTCCATCTACTGGTTAGAAACCAGTAGATGGAAACAAACCTAATTTGCATTTATTTTCCTCATTTCTTGTTTCTCAACTACCGTTTCCTCCCTTCAAAGGTTACCTGCCTTCAAGACTTCTTTGGTGATGATGATGTCTTCATTGCATGTGGACCAGAGAAATTTCGCTACGCACAGGACGACTTCTCGCTGGATGAGAACGGTGAGCCTTAGTCCAACAGGGATGTCGTTTATAATGCACTTTATTACCAACGTTATTCACTTAACACACCATAACATATGGATTATGTGTGCCATGACAGACATAATCCATAAAGTTTAATATTAACTCACTCTTTGAAGCTGAAAAAAATCTCCAACTCTTCTAGGAATGTTTCCCACAAGGTTTGAGTATGCTAACAGAAATCTTTTATTATTCTTCATAACAAGTCCCATAGGGTACTGCAATAAACTATATTATTGTTTTAAGACTTTTTAAGGAATAATAATTGCATAATAAATCAAGAACACGTTCTCAAACACCAATAAACTTTAAATTCAAATGAACATTTAACCCTGGAACTGAAAGCTATTTTAAATATCCCAGATAATTAAAACAAAACAGCAGAAATTACAAAATGAATTATGAAGTCTCTGTGAACAAAATTGACGCACAAGACTGAAGACTTTTGTCGTCCAGTTTTTGGTAGCTAAAGAGAAAACAATAAATCATGCAAATGGAAATGATTGAATTTTTTAATGCAATTAATTGATCGCTTATTGCAACAGGCCTAATCGTGTCACATCACCAGACCTGAATTTGATAAACTGCTGTTGGCAAACCATTTTCTGCCCGTCTACAGCTTGGATGTATTATCTGAAAATCTGAATTAAATCATTTCGGTGATTGATTGAATACTTTTGGCAGTATAGACCAGGTTCAGACGGTTGCATCAATCTTTTTCTCTCCCAACAGAAATAAATTCGGCGTTGGCATGAAGTAAACAACAATCGATGCAGTAAATCGAGTTGGGGAAGATATCAAACGCGCTCAGAAGTATATTGGTCAGCTCAGTGAGGTTTATAAGCTAATGCCTTGGTCAGCGTGGTCGCTGATATTCAAAGCTAGGTGAGCGAAAAATGAGGGATACTGACGAAGAGGCAGAGAAAGATGGAGCTGAAGCAGAGCTTTATCAGCAGCGAGCAGCTTGGAGGGAAGCGGGCAGAAGTCAGAGAGCAATTAATCTGTCCAGTGACGGGTTTAGGCCAGCTGATCTGTCGGTGCCGATACCGCTGTGAAGTCGAGGAGAGGAAAAGGTAAAGCCAGTCGTCTTGCTGAGTGTCTCGCCTCCCTCCAGACCTGAAAGATCTATTTTTAAAGTCCCTGTTCTACATAAACTCCCCTCCTGGAAACATGCGGTCTCTTCCTCCGAACACAGTGGTGCTGCAGAGCTGACTTCTTGTTATGTTTTCCTCCATCCCTTCGCTTTGCCATGGAGATTCCAGTAATGATCTGTGTCCTTAATGTTCTACAAACTCCCCCGTGGACCCGAGCTAAATTGTTTCATTTAGTCTCTAACCTTAGGCCAATGCTGCAGAAAATGAATGAGGGTCTGCAGCATGCCGACATCACCGAGTCGGCCTCAGAGGAGCCAGGCGGGATGGGGGGGGGGGTTGTCTGCTGTGTATCACGTGGACATTAAGTCTGCAGACATCATAAATCTTCCACACGAAGACAAATGAAAATGCTTACATTCTCTGCATTAAAGGAGTCTAGGTTCTTGTCTGAGGAAAACCTGGAATGATTTTTTTTTTGTTTTGTTTTCTGACTTTTTAATGTCAAAAATAAACCCACACCTCGCATTTAGTGGGGTAGAGCAGAACGTATTTGCACCCCGTTCACTTTTGTACCTCACAAACTAATTAAAAGTTGATTCTTACAAAAAGAAAATCCATGCAGATTAGCTCATAAGTGAAAACGTGTTTCCATCTTCATTTGGTTTACATTTACATTTCTGATTGTAAATCAAAAGTGCAACAGCAACAGGCAGATGTGCGTCCAGTTGTTGTTCACAAGTGAACTCGGGTGAATCTCATCAATGAAACGTTCAGTTGATTGCGTGTAATTTAGAATGAAACGAAGCACTCCACTCTGTATTGGCGCAGAAACCAAAAGTTCTCAGCTCTGAAGAAGATCAAGCAGTTTTCTTCACTATTCAAACACATTGTTTAAAAGAAACATTAAACATTAAATGCAAACGTAATTTCAAATTTAATTTTCTTCAAATCTAATCTTCGTGATCAGTGACCAGCTCATCGGTACCTCAGTCTTTGATTAAAAGCTGCTTTTAACAAGCATGTTTAGAACCATCAGTTTTAGCATATTTTAGATTCTCATGTAGTTTTTTGAGTTGATGAGCAGAAGTTGAATTTTACCTCCACTTGTTCAGTTCTGGTCCAGTGATCCGAGAGGTCAAGGTTCAAACTTAATCAGCTCAAATATATTTTGATGCAATATCAGAAATTTAAATTCAAACAAACCTTTCATAATGAGGTGAACAATGAAACCAAAATACAACTTTGTGACCTTAACCCCAAACGCCATCGTTACTGTGAAGCATAGTGGTGGCAGTGTCATGCTGTGGGGATGTTTTTCTATGACAAGATTTAAAATCTATTTGAGTAATTTTGTAACAAAAAAGTGAGGCAGTGCGAATAATTTCTGGTGGAGCCGTTTATGCAGCTGCAGCATTTGCAGAACCAGGAATGTGATCCGACTCTGGGCTATTTTGGGAGACAGACTGCCAGTCTGAAGTACTGTCAAAGGAGCGCTGGTGACACACTTGCCAAACAATAGCGCACCAGTTTTTACGTCTGTATCCAGCAGCGTGTGAAGGTGAAGAGAAAGAAGACGGATATGGTGCGATCCCAGGAGATGGAGGGAGGACAGAACGTATAATTAGCATCAGAGGAGGGAAGGAGCGCAGAGGAGGGGGAGGGAAGGAGGAGAGGAGAGAGACTGACGGTATAAACAGAATGGAAGATGCTCTGAGGGAGGAGCAGGAATGTCTGCAGCCTGTCTGCTCTGATTATTACACTGACCCAGAATACCAAAATGTACAAAAAAAAAATCCTGGAATGTATTCTGCTTTTTACATATCTGAGGGACGACGCTACGATCCGACACCCTGACCAATCTTCAACCTCAGTCATTCAGTTTTTATTAGTTTTGATTTTCCTTTTCATCTGTCCCGTAGAATGCCGGCTGATGAAGGGGGCCAAGGCCCAGCGCGGTTCCGTAAAGAGTCCCGGTCCGATCAAGCGCTGCAAATCTCCTGCTGACTCCAGTGAGTAACCGCCACCCGACGCCGACGCCGCCTTTCCTGACCGCGCCCCGCAATGAGCGCAGTCGAAGATCGGCAGGAAAACAATGAGGCAGCCTGCGGTGTTGTAAATGAACTAACATAACAACATGTGACAGCAGAGGGATTTAACTGACCTCTGACCTTATTCCAAGAGGCGTGGTGAGCATGTCAGATCAATAATGTATGAGGGAAAGGTGGCTTGCATCCAATGAGCAAATATCCGAGATGATTGGGTTTTAATGCATTTGTTGTGCTTGAAGATAAGTCTTCCTTTATCTGCAGGAAGGGAATCAGGCTCGACTGATGGATTAAACTACAGGATCAAAAAATCTGCTCCTTTATCTTGGATCGCAGGACTGGATTTAAAAAAAAACGTCCAGTTTAAATCCAGCCTTTGCTTATAAGTAATAATCTAGGATTTAGTATAATTGTGTTTAACATGCTCCTATTGAATAAGAGAGGGAAAAAGCATGAATAAATCAAGAAAAGTAAACAAAGACAACATGAACAGCTGTCAGCTGTTTGTTGGACAGACGGGTTAATATTTAATAGTGTCCACTGAAACCCCGGGCGACTGGCTTATTAATTGTTTATTAGCATTTATTGTGAAAAAGGGCCTTGATAAAACAGGATTGTGCATCTGTCTGAAGACATCAACATCTTTCTGTTGGGATAAATAAATAAAAAGTACAGCAGTGGTCAGAACTGAACGTACGCTTTATATTTATCATTCAAAATTTACCCGATTTATATTGACTTTCAACTTGGAACAGATTTTTTATTTTTTTTATTTTTTTTTGGAATGACTTTAAGAAAATTTTTGCTAAATGTTCAGAAATTCTTGAAAACTGGAGGATCTCTTTTTTTTTTTTTGACTCGGACGTGGATTGTCTCCTTTACCCATTCTTAAACCAGTTTCATGTTTAACTTCACAGTCCTGTTGGAAGACCAATCCCTGTCCTAGAGCCAACATCTGGTTCAAAGTTATGGATTTGAAGGTTGTCATCCTTTATCATCCCAACCATTTTATGGAGTATATTGACAACTATATAGAGATTCTCCTCGTCATTCTCTGTGTTTAATGACTGTAAAACCTTCACACATGGATAATTTGGGTAGATTTGGAAAGCTTTAGCCTCACTGAATCCTCGGTTGTTCTTGAACCGTTTCTTGCTATCTCAGGGTAAAAATTTAGTTCGGAAACGACAAAAAAATGATCCCAAACGCACATCAGGCTGGTTTTGTAAAACGTTTTAAGTCTAACATTAGTGATTTGTCATAGAATTTCTCTATGCACATTTAGAAGCGTATGGCTGTGAAACCTCTCCGTTTCAAAATTCTGTGAGCCTTACAAATATTAAAATGTAAAGTCAAACTTTATTTGCCTTTGTGGAGAAAACATTACTGTGTCTCCTCTGCAGGCGACTGTCTGGTCACTCTCTTGGCTTTTTGTCCCGTCTCTGTGGGAGAGCTGCCCATCTCTCGCAAACCAATTTTTAGGTTTTCCGAGGTAGAAGGGCTTTTGGAGCGAGTTTAACTTTTTACTTGCCCACTCTCCGTGTAGCCGAGCGTTTAAATGAAGCCAACGGGGGGGGAAAAAGGAGCTTTATCCACTGTTTGTTTTCAACTCCATGGCTCAGACTCAAGCTGGCCATCTGCTTCGGCCTTTTCATCTCTTACAGACAAAACTCTTTTAAGGCACTTACAACACACAGCTACATCACCTCACACCACTCTCAGATCTAAACAGAGGTTCCTAGCAACGATTCAGGACACAGACTGCGAGAGTAAAATGTCGCCAAACTAAAGCGGCGGACTCGTCAGGCTCCCGGCGGGCCTTTAGACGAGAGCCAGGGGAGCCTATCGTTCAGCGCTGACTTTTATGGAGAGCAATGGAAAAAAAAGCGGTTTGGATTGGTCTTGCACGCTATCTAATCCACAGTTCTCTCTTTTTTTTGCCCCCCTCCCCGTCTTTTCTTTCTGTCTGCTCCGTCGGATCCCTCAGCCAATGGGACCGGCTCCAGCAGCCAAATCTCCACCCCGATATCCAAGCATTCCCCCACCTCCACCCCCACCAGTCCGGGCCTGAACAACAAGCAGAAGGTAACGAAACCTTTCCAGTTTTAATCAGACTTTATATGAAAGACCAACACAGAGTGCTGTAGTGCATTTATGTGAAGAGGAAGGAGAATCACACATTTTTAATGATGAAATGACATTTAAGTTTGTGATTTCTGACAAAATGTGAGACTTTATTTCTTTTTTTGAAGAAGCTCCATCTTTTTATTTGCCGACGTCTCGACGCCGAGCTCACAGGTAACCATGCTGCGCTCTGCTTCCAGGATCTCTACCTGCCCTTATCTCTGGAAGATGAGGACTCTCTGGGCGAATCGATGTAACTTCCTTCCTGCAGCCAGCCTTCGTTTTGGCCTGAAACACAGAAGTTTTACACGTCTGCTGCTTTCCACCTTCACTCACAGTGCCACCAGTCGAAGAGAACCGCTCTTTGTCTCTTTCTCTCTCTCTCCCTCCCTCTCTCTCTCTTTTCTGGGCCTTTGACACCATTTGCTGCTTGAGAATAACAACCGGTTGTTGAACTCAGTCTCGTCGGTTCACTAATGTTCAGACACGATGACCACTTGTTTGCCGTTTTGGATTTTCATCAGAATAAGTTATTTTAGAGATGTCCACCAGGGGTACACATTTTTAAATTTCCACTCAAGCAGCAAATGGGGGAATTTTCAGCCACACGTTGAACGACTTTTTTTTTATCCACTTTACATTTTTGTGACTGTCCTCCTGTCCCTCCGTCCAACTGTTGAAGGTGTGAATGTTACTGGTTCCTTGTCTGAGGAGGAGGGTCTGTTAATGAGGGTCTTTCTAAACCTGCTGTAAATACTGTGTACAGCCATCCGTCCACCATAACCTCTCTGCTCAGTGTCTGTTGCTGTGCTTCCATTTTGTCACTACGATGTTCAACCTTCACTCGACATGTAACAGGGTCACGGGGTCAAAGTAGACGAAAGAAATCAAGTGGTGATGGTTTGGGTTGTTGGGATTAGAGGGATTATCCGTCAGAAATGTTTTAAAGTAAATAAAGTATAATTTCAGAAAGCGGTAAGCACTGAGGCTTCATACAGTGTGCAATAGAAATTTATTGGCATGAATTTTGCCCAGTCGGACCGAACGGGAAGATGTAAAGGCGTCGTCTCCTACATCTCAAAATGTTCATGCTTCATCTGCTTTGACCTTTAGATGGTAGGCTATAAGTGGTTCGTACCCTCCGTGTTTTTCACAAGATGCAGTGCATGATATTGTATGAAACATTTAAGTTTAAAAAGCTGATTTCTTTGTTTTTTTTGAAGGACCTAATGGTACATAAAAACAACCAAAGCAAAATCAAGTAGGCCCAGAATGCAGCTTTTATATCCTGAGCTGATTAATTCCCGTTTAAGCCACTTTATCGCCTCCTTTTTGGTTTGACCGCAACTTCTGGTGATTATTAACAATAAATGGTGTCCGGTAGAAATATTAAAACTTAGACTTTTTCCACTTTTTGTCATGTTGCAGCCACAAACTTGAATAATACGTCTTTTGGAACCAATGACAGGTTTTCTGCCCTCCATTAAGTCCATCCATCCCCACACCCTGATGCTGCCGCTACCATGTTTGATGGTGGTGGTGCCTTCACAGACCGGCTGGGTTAAAACAGATTAAATTACTCATGGTTAGACTCTAGTTTACTAATTGGATCACACTTCGAAGCACCTGATTGCACTGTTTATTTAGTAGCATCACTGTACACGTTCACGCCGCACTTTTAAGATTTTAGTTTGTAAAAATGTTAAATATCGGCTTGAAACTTGCGGTTTATAGTTTCCTTTCGCTTCACAAATATGCGGCGCGACTTTGTCTTGGCCCAACAGAAAGAAAGTATCAGTTTTGTGGTTGCTGCGTGTCAGAATGCAGGAAAGTTTGAGCATCAGAACCGCTTTCGACTGGCACCAAACCCGGTGGGGGCGGGGGGAATAAATCTCAAAGCCAAAGTGTTGTTTTGACCAAGAACAAACAAAACAGGAGGAAATGTAAAGTTTTGATGGTAGTGAAATACTCTGGAGCGAGCACACATGGAGCTGATGCATGTCGCATTGAAATAATAAATCATCTTCATCTAAGGCAGGTCGTTGCATTACGGCGCTAAAGCAGTAGTGGGATTTCTCCTCTTTTTGCATGGCTCGGCATAGTTCAGGGATCGTGGGAGGGTGGTGAAAATATGCTTGTCTAAATTTCATGTGTGGGCTTAAAAGTTTTATAAAGCTTATTAATTTATATTAAAGGTACCTGTGTAGGATTCCTCATTTCCTTAGTTTAAACTTGCTCTGAACAAGTTTTCCCACGCTTCTGTGTGCAATTTTGTATCTCCATATTCCCATTTCTGTCGTTGCGACTTCTTACGCCGCGCCCACTCTAAGGTGGAGATGTGAGTTTTACTTGGCAGGGAATCAAGCCTGAGACGTCTCTGAATCGAATGACTGAAGCACAAAAGCAGGGAGCCACTAATTCATTTACGACGACAGATTTTTACCGGCCGGCCTCTCAAAACGCTTAACCACCGATTCTCAATAGTCATAAAATGCTGCACATGTAGCATATTTTCGATTAAGTACTATGCATTTGGATTCAACAGTTGCTGACGTTATTGTCTTTGGTAGAACTTGCCTTTTTATTAAAATAAGAAGTGTGATTAGAAAGGAGCCTAAAGTGAGCTTTTTTTTTAATTTTTATTTATTTTTTTCCATTGTGATGAATCGTCTGTCTGGAAGTCCTGTCTTTAGATGTGACGCTGCGTCCGCCTGCTTGATGATCTTTGGTCAATGTTTTTTCTCGTCAGCCTCAACGCTGAACACAAGCCATCACAATCTGGTGCTGTGAACTCCACCTTTCTCCAGCAGGGAGCGCTGTTACGCCAACACAACAGCTAAAGTCAGCAGCAGGGGATGCGTCCCTTTGACTCCTATTTTATACCAATAAAAGGAAAAAAAAATAAAAATAAATAAAAATAATTTCCTGTTGCTTCTGTTTAACCTCACCCGCTAATATTCTAGTTTCCTTACAACTTTTTACATCTCAACATATTTAAGCAGAAAATGTTTGTCTCGAATGAAGCGGCTGCCACCATTGAAGATGACTGGTGTGATTTATCACCATGAGTGGTGCCTTTTTTTTTTTCTAGATAAATGTCTTTTGATAAAAACAATAAATGGAACGTAAAAAGGCTTGTTCTTTAGAAGCTATTTGTAATACATTTTTTAAATGTCTTAAACGAAGAGGCCTCCTATCACTTTGTTTTGTAGAGATACAAGACACTTTGCCATGGTGTAAATACACTTCTTTCCTCTTCTTTCATAATGTATGCCTTTCGGATCAAATTACTTTCTTTCTCTCTCTAAAATTTACCCTGTTGTTTTTAGTGGTATTTTGCAATGTTACCGTGGCTTGTTTCAGTGCTTCATTCAATGTATTAACTGGTATCCTTTTGCAAATAAAACATTGGTATTTCATGTCGTGTTTTCTGTCGTTTACCCTATAAACATCTTTTAATTCCATTTTATTAATTAAAATGCTTGAGGTGAATCTGAAGTGGGATGATTACGCTCGGTCTTGGTGTCTAATTGTGTAAATGTTGAGTCTGAATATTTGATTTTAAAGTAAACACTGGTAAGAAATGGGGCTCAAATCTAAAAGGAAAAGGTATTTAAATGTTTCTTAAGTAATTGTTTAGTGGTTATATGTGATAAATATTGAAATCAAAAATGCAAACTTATTTAACACAAAAAGTCTGCTAGTGGTCAAATCCTGGTGCAAAGGTTTTATATGGGTAACCATTTAAAATGTATTTTTCTTCCTCCACACAAACTTTCAGTGGGAAGTCTCTATAACATGTTTAGCTTTAAATATGTAGTTCTATCATTTTGTCAGATGTTGCAACAGTGAGTCGCCCCCTGCTGGCTCTTTCATAAAAGTTCGGTTTAGGCACAAACCGAACTTTTTAGGCTTGAAAAGATTGAAACTTCTTTCCTCTGACAACATAATCTGCATATTTAAGTTGTGTTCAATTCAAATCACTGCGTTACAAAATTTACTTCCAACGCTTATCAATAAAAATTAAAAGATACAAATTTGCAGAAGACCTGGCGAGGTCAATTAAAACCAAAGCGTTAGCTTGGTTGCTCTGCATTTAGCTCCATTGTGATAATGAAATACAATTCTTCCTTCACCGTGTGACTTTATTTTATGTTTTTTCATTCATGTAATCAGTTTAACCTGCCCGTCATGGCAGAATTCAGCCATTCAGGCTCCATTAGCCCCCTCTTGTGGCCAACTGCTGAAGTGGCATCTATTCAGGTTAGGGTGGAGCTCACCCACCTTCACTTGGTAAAACATATCGCGGTTGCATTGTCAACTAGTAAATCACAAATCCAGTTGTTTCAGCATTTCTACGAACTTATTAAATATATAAAAAGGTCATTATTGTTAGAAGCAGCTCCAGTGAAAAGTGGGAGTCAAATCTAGTGACACAAAATCTGACCAAAGTGCCAATTTTGTCAAAAAATGTGGAAGAGGGGCTGAGGAGTTTGGCAAGATGGCGACTATTTGCTTATCAGTTTCTGAATCATTTAAAACATTAACGGAGTCAGACTAGCTTGTAAGATAAATTAACAGGATTTAATTTTATGATAAATATATTTTGGCAGAGACCAGGAGTATTTGATTTGTAATTTCAAAACATACAAAAGAGAGAAAAGAACATAAACTACTACATTGACATGCTGTAAAAAAATAAGTTAACCTACTCAAGAAATTTGTGGTTACCAAAAGTCAGGTGTAAAAATTAAATTGTTTCGATAGATGTATAAATTTCAAAATCCCTCTGAGGTCATAGAACCAAGCTTGGCTCCAGCTACTGTTCTAAGCACTTTGGGTTAAACATCCACAGATGGGACTGTCCTATCCAGCGAGTCTCCCACCTGAGATGTGGACCCATGCGGCTCCTCCAGAGTTATTCTTTTCTTCCTACTCCGAAGCAGAAAACACCAGTAAACAACGTTGCAGATTTTGATTTCAGGGGTACGGATACTTTCTGGTCCACTGTAAGACATGTGGACCAGAACGGGACTTCTCCGATTGCCTCATCGTTGCTGAGTGTGACTATCAGCCTGTCGAGCTGAAAAAACGGTTTCCTTCTTGAGAACCATCTCGTTTTCCCTGAAATGCTCCCTCAGAGTACACTGCCGCCTTTGTTCAGGTCATCTGGTGAATTGTTTTCTCCTGAGGTGTAATCAGCGCTTCCAGCTTTCTATCACAGGAAGTACATTCGTCACATCATGCATCGTGAATGCTTTCTTCCTGTCTAAACATAACGATGTCCTCTCTAAAGTCTGCTTGTGACAAAACTCTTCACTCGTATCTTCAACAGTTGATCCCCTGAATAAATCCCCTCATCATTGTTGGCCCTTTAGAAAAGAAGTCGGCCTCTTGGAAGCTGGAATTAGCCTGAGCAGATCTGATGAGGGTGAGGGAGTCACAGTGCCTCTGTGTTCCCTAACAGAGAAGCACAGATCACTGGGCGCCTGCCAGTTTGCTTCATTCCCACAGCTCACAGCTTATTAGCTCTGTTTATTCAACGGTGCAGACCACTGGTGCAAGAAAACATCTGAAAAACTGATTTAACACAGACAGGACAGCACATAAAACGCATTTGTGAGGCTGATGTTATTACCAGAGTTTTGTGTGTTTTCAGACACGCTGAGCAGGTTTCTACTGGTTTTTACCTTCAGGGGGTGCTTAGTTTCGGTCGCCCCTTCCTTAAATACTTTCAGAGATCCAATCAGCCGTTTTCCAAAAGTGACACAGTCTCCTATGCAGCGATGTAGCCGCCAGGCCAGTTTTCTGACCCTGCTTTTGTGAACTCCTCACAGCAGCAGAGCAGGAAATCTCATTTCATTCAGAGCGAGGTGTGGCAGACAGCTGTTTTGTGTTGTGGCTCCTGAAGCTGAAGCGTGGACTGACTTGTAAACACCTGACTTGGAGTTTGAGGGAAGATTGAAAGAATTTGGGTTCATCTTCACAAGAATAAGACTTTCTGGTTGGTAAGTGTTGCTTTTGAAATGTTTCTGTTCTTCATTTGTAACTTTTAAGAACATGTTACATAACTTTGGCTTAAAAAACTGACCACATCATGTTGAATTGTCTCATTTTGCCGTTTTCTGAACTTCAGTTTGATCTTTACTTTAAGCACGTTTTACTTTTTATTGCTCTGGTTGAAGTAAACATGAGCATGTCTTTAAACCTATAGTTTTCCCTGATCTTCATGTTGGTTCATGTACGTCAAGTAAACACTGGGAAGTGCAGGTGGCGTCACCTGTAACAACCGGACAAAAAACAAACTTAATTTCCTGAGACTCATTTTCTGCTTTAATATTCCAATAAAGAAAATTAAAATCTTATAATTAAAAAAAAGTGAGAAGAAATTCTCAGCCAATACTAACTAATCACTCATTAAGCCGACTCACCGTTCAGGTCAGGTGCAAAACAGTTGAACGTACAATAGCAAACAGAACTGGGGTGGGGCACTGAGACGTGTGGAAATAGGTCAGTATTGTGTGGGAGGGCGAGTCAGAGACAGGTACGTACACGACCGGGAAACTTCCTTATTCTGGAGAACGAAAGTCTGAGCTGCAGATATCACAAAGGTACCGTCACTGGATATCCTCTCGTTTCTACCCTTATATTTATTTGCAGAGAAGTTCAACCTTAGAGTTTGTTTGGTAATTTCAGATGATCTCTTTCAAAAGCTCTTTATGCATTTTGTGCTTCTCTGGCTTTTCTGCATATTTGGTGTTTATTGCTTCCTGTTGGATGTGTGCTGTTGTGTGATTCTTGGCCATGACTGAAGTATCAAGATTCTTAACTAAATAATTAGTCTGGCCAGTACTGTGTAAATGGAGCACTGAGGGGTCAGTGTGGTGGGAAAACAAGCTTAAGTGTTCCTCCCTAAAGAATCAAGCTACGTCTCTCATCACGACTCCCGTCATCACTTGACTTTTTCTCTTCAACAAGGTTTAAAAAGGTGCTTTTCTGCTAGAGCCTCAACCAAACCACTGATCCAAGACCTGTGAGAAGTTTACATGACTCTCATGTTCATTTTCATGATGCATTTTAAATGTTATCACCAGGTTGGTGATGCAACATATGACATAAAATAACTGGTTGCACAACCTTGAATTCATCACGTCTCCACTCCCTCCTCAAAAACTGTAACTATTATACAAACAGGCTCAAATGTAAACATGTAGTCCACAAATATTTGATTCATGTGAAGCAGTTGCTTTTTATGAGTCACCAAGAAGCTTCTGGAATCATTTTCACTGGATATTCAGTCACTCATAAAAACTGGAGTAAATTTAAAATTGTTTGGGTTCCTTCCATCATTCCTCATGATCACAGCAGCTAATTTTAAATAACTTGCCATTATTAAATCTTAATATTAGCCAGGTAATTTTTCACAGGCATTTAGAACCATTATCCCGTTGCTTCGTCCATCCAGATATTAATTTTGAAGCATTGCTTTTTCTTTCTTATTCTATCCTCGTCGTGCATCCATTGGCAACAAGGTTAGCTCCACCATCTTTGTTGCGTTATTAGATCTAAAAACCTTTTTACTGCTTCAAAAGTATTTTTTTGAAACGGAGGAAATGTTTTTGAAATGTTTTTAACCTTGAAATGTTTTTAACGTGAAGTAAAAACCACAGAGTCTAATTTGGTCCTTTATGTTGCTTTTAAAGTTTCCAGAAATTGCAAAATGCTACTTAGTTGAAAAAGACCTTTGATGTAGTCCTCTGTCCTGAGCCAAAATGTGGCAACAAACTGCCCAAAATGTAGATTTTTAAATCCCAGTGATCGTAAAGGTTAGTATTTTGGTTTAGCAACTTTTATCTCTCAAACAACAGTGATTTAAAGTTCATGTCACATGGGAGAGTACGTGTCTGAGTACTCTCCCAAGAGTTTGCAAATTCATGCCAAAACATTTTCTTACTAGATTATGGTCGCATTTTTTTAAAGTCTTAAAATATTTGCACTTCAAACATAAACTGAATGAATTATGCTATGAGTACATTATAAATAGTCCTGAAGTTCTAGAAACATAGATTTAGTTTTGTTTCTGTATTATCTATGTCACTTTGACTTAGCTATTCTAGGTGCTGTGTTTTTTTTTTTTGTTTTGAGCAAAACTTTAATTTTTTGATCAAATTTCTTCTATGTAACACATTTGGTTTCTTCCATAACACTTGGAAAGAGCAAAATCCCAATTTACAAACATCTATTTGAAAATATTTATATCCCGGAGCTAGTAAAGGTGAATATGTCAAATCTTTTGCAATATCATAACATTTTTCATCTGTCCAGACAAACTCGATGAGTCCACCGAGACTCACTCAGGGTCATGGGTCAGTCTGGAGCAGTACAGCAATCCCACCAAGACTAAATCATTTCTGATTCCTCCCATATAAAGACCAGAATCCTCTGCTGTCTCATCTGCAGCTGTGAGGCCTCAGCATCTCCACCATGTCTGTCGCTTACAAGGATCAGCTCTACGCTGAGCTGAAGAAGCAGCACAACCAGAAGGGGACGCTGTTTGAAGACCCAGAGTTCCCAGCCACCAATTCATCGCTTTATTTCCACAAACCCCCTCCTGGAGTTGTGCAGTGGAAACGACCCAGGGTGAGTTTATTCCACGTCAGGAATGTTAAAAGTGCCTTATGTCTCTGTATATTATCTTTTTTTCCCTTGTATTATTAAATTAATGTGCTCAACCGTCTCTTAATGGTCCTGAAAGCAGACTCTTAATTTGGACAAATGAAATATTAATAGTGTTTTATGCCAAGTAAATGTCTAACTCACATAAATTTTGCCATTTTATTGCTTGCCAGTTACTTTTAGGATTTATTTTAAAATCTGTGCTTAACTATAAATACTGCATGTTCAATGCACGTAATTTCAAAGAAGAAAAAAAAAATTACAAATATGCTAAAAAACGTTTACAAATAAAATCTTACAAGTCTAGCATGTGTTTGATCGAGCCCTCATTTTCAAAACGTTCTACAACCATCAAAAATAATTAAAAAAAAGATCCAGAGGTACAAATACTTCTTTTAAACCCTGTAAACAGATTGTTTTAATTTGTTGATTTTTATTATTTGGCCATTTGTAAAGTCTTGGAAAGTTGTGGTCATCCATGTATTTCTTTATAAAAGCCACCATCTTTTTAATATTTTAGGAAATATGTGAAAACCCACATCTCTTTGTGGAAGGCATCAGCTCTCATGACTTGAACCAGGGGATTGTGGGAAACTGCTGGTTTGTTGCTGCCTGCTCCTGCCTGGCTTTAAAACCAGACCTCTGGGAGAAGGTGAGTTTACTTTAAAAAAAACAAACAAACTCCAAATTGTTGCTGAAAGTGTTTACAGAAGAAAAGGTCACAGAGCAAAATATGGGCAAACATCATGTATAAACTTTATGTATTTAAAACAGGATGTCAGTAAAGGTTGCATATGTGAAGGGAGATGAGTACTTCTGGAAATATAGTGGAAATGTTTATCTTCTGATAAAGGGGATACATTTGTTTCCAAAGCTCATTGTTAGAGAACAAAGACTTTTACACAAAGCCTTTGTTTCATCTGCGAGGATGTGGTTTTTATTCACCGTACGGTGTAACAAAATGTTTGTGTTATCTAAAAGTGTCTTCTTTGAAATAGAAAACAGAAACAGCACCTGAATATCTTAATCAGCTAAAACCTGAGTTGAAATTAAGGATCATCAACAACTGTTGCTAATTTTGAGTATTGTCTAACATCACGTGCATATTTTAAGTTGCCAAACTATCTTAACTGCCTATCAACTCTTCAAATGCTCCTCCTCCCACCGTGGCCAGGCTGTTTGGCTGCTATGAGTCCCTGGCTGGAGGCAACACTGGAGATGCTGTGGTGGATTTCAGTGGAGCCGTGGCGGAAGCCATCGACCTGCAGAAAGAGAAATACTACGCGGAACAAACCAAAGAAGATAAATTTTTTGAGGATATTCTCAAGGTGTGGAATCGCGGAGGAATCATCAGCTCCTCCATCAAGGTAAGTGACCATCTGCTCCTGCAAGTTTTCTCTGTTTACGCCTCTCCAGAGTCTCTGACTACGTCAAAATTAAAACATTTTCTTTGAAATGTCACAGCCGCAGGGATTTGGGCTTGAGTCGAGGACGGATAACGGGCTGGTGCGAGGCCATGCGTACTCGGTAACTGACGTGAAACGAGTGCGTTTGGGTCACGGGCTGCTGGCCTACTTCAGGAATGAAACCATTCCACTCATCCGCCTGAGAAACCCCTGGGGTAAAACTGAGTGGACAGGAGCGTGGAGTGACAGGTCAGGAGGGCTCATGAGGGGAGTCATTTTCCTGTCACTGGGTCAGAAAGGCATTACAACTGGCACGGCCCCAAAACCGTCTTTATAAATCAATTTATTAACTGAAAAAGATGCCACACAGAAAAAGCAAGACAATCGATTTCATTGTTCCAGTTTGCTAAAATATAACTTGGGTTTAAGTCTGAAAAATCTGCTATACAGCTGAGGTCAAGGATGGCACAAAATGGTCTCACATTCACCAGCTCCAAATCCAAACAAGATTAACAACATTTTTTCAGGCTTAAATATTAATCTAAAAAAACTACTTTGGTATTAACAGTTAGTTCAAGCAATAAAATGAAAGTCTTATGTGTGGTTTAAATGAAAAAAGGAAAGCTCTCAAAAGTCATAATTAAAAGCATCATTAAAAGGCATCATTAATATCTGTAGATTTTTATGGCACAATCATAAAAATCTTTTAGGCTTCGTTTTCTACGAAGCCTAAAAGTGTTGTTTGCCTTTTTTCATCTGAANCGACACTAGATGGAAATTCAGATTTTGTGGAAGTTTAATTTTAGTAAATTGCTCAACAACGCCACCCTGGGAATTTCACCCAGAGAATATTACCTCTTGTTTAAGGCACACAGGTTCAGTCATGCATGGATTAAAACATCTGAGACAGTTTCAAAATTATAAAAAAAAAACGTTTATTAAATTCTTTTGAAAATGTTTTTAAAACCAGTTTCTTTTTAAAAATTAAACTAAAGAAATCAACGAAAATAGAAGAGCTGCAGCAGTTGAGGTTACCGGCCGGAGGGGGCGCTATGGGGACGACATCCACCAAACACAGCAAATTAAAAAAAAACCTTTAACACCAGACGCAGTGAGACAACCCAAACTCCAGAATCACAGCACACAGACGAGGAAGACACCGTCACCACACCAACACCGCCACCGGACCTCAGCAACTGCAAACAAAAACAAACAGTTAACCAATATAACAATATCAGCCCGACTAAATAAACAAAAGGGCTGTGAACAAAAGTAGAAAAATAAAAATCAGACAATACAAGTTAAAACATTAAGACCAGGCGTGGCCCTGCCACAGCGGGAGATGAAACGGGCGCGCCGATGCCACACCCCAAACACCGCTCCAATTAGGGCGGATAACGCCGCCACAGTCCAACTTGAAAACAATTGTGCAGAAATCCGGGAGATTTACGTAGCCGGCGCAGAACAACGCCGAACAGATCCGGGAAACGAACGTAGACAGAGCAGATCCGGGAAACGAACGTAGACAGAGCAGCAATGGTTCAACTGTGGGGAACCTATAAAAAAAATGTATCACCATTTTAAATAAAACAAGAAACTGGAGCTTAGATGAGTGTCAATTTCTTACCTGCTGATCCACAAAACATGCACACACACTCGCAGCCGGAGGAAGAAAAGGAATGCAACGCAGTGGCGTTTTACCTACGATCACACTTTAGTTTAGATTTTCTGACCAAGGTCAGCTAAAGAGAGAACACCTACCACCAAAACATCAGCGCAACATGCACCAGCCAGCGATTTGTTGCTTTTCGCTGCCAGAGTCCACCGGACACGAACCACACAGTGGGAGAACAAAGACGACACATACCTGAATGAACGCCGCAGCTCCTTATATACACCACGCCCACTTCAAGAACCGGAACTTCTCACCTGGAAACTATTTGTGGGGAATTATGTATATTTCTATATCACTA